AGAGACATGCAACCGTAGCACGTTTAGAAGCTATACGTTTACTTCTTGCTTTTGCCTCGTCTATGAATTTTAAAATTTATCAAATGGATGTTAAGAGTGCCTTCCTCAATGGTTTTATTTAAGAGGAAGTGTATGTTGACCAGCCCTCGGGGTCTGAAGACTTTGAGTATCCCGACCATGTCTTCAAACTCAAGAAAGCACTCTACGGTCTTAAACAAGTACCACGTGCTTGGTACGAACGTTTGAGTAAATTTCTTTTGGACAATTATTTTTTATAGTTATTAGTATTACGACATTATATGAATTGGGAAAAAAATTATTTTTTAACTTTGGACTCGTTATCTTTTATTCTTTATGTTTATGATCCGTTTAAATTTAAGATCAATACTTTTATTTAACATTGATCTTGTGCTTTTTTATACTCCCTGCGTTCTCAAAAACTCTTCCTCTTTCATTTTTTGACTTCTAACAAAACACTTCCACTTTCTATTAAAAAACCACTTTTACCCTTATTTTTTCATACCCTACCTATCACATCATACTTTTTCTCTAATACTCAATCCATCACATCTTACTTTTATCCATCACATCAAGGGAAAAATTGAAAGTCAACTACAATTTAACACTTCCTTATTTTTAAACAAAGTCAAAATAGGAACACTTTTATAGAACAGAGGGAGTACAAATTTATACATTAAATTCAATATTCTTTAAGTAATGTACGCTCATTTTTTGGCACCGTTTGAGCATGAGTATGGTATTGTACCGTTCCGTTTCAAAACGAAATGGTACCGAATGGTCTTGGAGTTCATCCCGTACCGATACCGAACCGTTTAAATAATAGCGGTCCGTGATAGGTTCCGGTAGTATCACGGAACATCACGGACCTTGCCCACCCCAACTCTTGATCAACTAGAAACTATCACTTCCTCTCTCTTGCTCAACTAGCTATTAACCCACACTTCCTCTCTCTTACTTACTTCATAACTAGCTTTTCACTCTAATGGATTTCTACAACAACGTTTTCGTTGCAGATTATTCACAACAGTTTCGTGCAACGATTTTCCGTTGCGGAGTAATTGCAATATATTCTGCAATTTTCTGTTGCAATTTTCCGATCCAACAGAATAACCGTTGCAAACTGGAATATGCAACAACAGGTTTTGCAACAGCAAAATTGCAACACAATTTAAGGGATGGGCGCGGTCCGTGATGGTTCGTGATACTACCAGAACCTATCATGGGCCGCTATTATTTAAACGGTTCGGTATCGGTATGGGATGAACTAGCTCCAAAACCATTTGGTACCATTTCGTTTTGAAACGGAATGATACAATACCATACCCATGCTCAAACCGTGCCAAAAAAAGAACGTACATTACTTAAAGAATATTGAATTTAATTTATAAATTTGTATAAAAAAGTACAAGAATGTTAAATAAAAATATTGATTTCAAATTTAAACGAATCATAAATATAAAGAATAAAAGATAACGAGTCCAAAGTTAAAAAATAATTTTTTTTCCAATTCATATAATATCGGAATACTAATAACTATATATAAAAAATAATGCCAATAGTAATGATAAATATAATAACAATAATAACAATGAGAGAGTTTTAAAATGAATAATAAAATACGAAGTACTCCATACAAAATCAAAATTTCCTTCTTTAATGGATTTGCAAAAAAGAGATAAATTGACAGAAACACATGTATTGTTTGATGCTCAGCTTATATATAAGTGTGTGTGTGTGTGAATTCTAGCTTTACATAGCTTAGCTTCTTGTTCAATTCTCTAAAATTCTCTTACCTTGTTAGGACCACTTCCCACCCTTAACCAAAGCTCTAAAAACCTTGGTAAACTTTTTTGGATGCCTTGCCTCTCCATAATTACTTCTTGGTATGCAATTTATAACATTCATCACTATTGCACCATAAATAGTGCACCCTGTTGCCGGAAGGAAACCACTTCCTCTCTCTTAAAACAGTGATGTGCTTATTTGAAGAAAAAAAGAGCTGCCATTGTGTGACCAAAACTTCATAAATTCAGTAATAGGAAGTAGCAAGGGTATAGATTGTTATTATTTTCACTTTGATATCTTAGCAGCCAATTCTCTCACAATCTTTGCAGCAACCATACTAGTCATCCCATCAACAGTGTCACAATGTCCTTTTGAAGGTTGTGGACAATCTTCACTTCCTCTCTCTTGATCAACTAGCAACTGCCACTTCCTCTCTCTTGATTAGGGGTGGGAAAAAAAACCGAACTAGCATGGTATCAAAACGCACCGTAATAGTACCGAACCGTTTATAGTGTTTTCACACGGGATTGATTTTTTTCATCACGAACCAAAACCGAACCAATACCAAACGGGACGGGACCGTGATACAATAATTTAAAACCGATTATCACGGACTGAACCATTTAACGCTATATACGGAGTACGTATCTCAAATAATTATGGAGTCTTTGTCTAATTCATCTTACCGTGTATAGAGTACATCGTATTTTATTATTCATTTTTGAACTCTCTCATTATTGTTGTTGTTATTATATTTATCATTACTATTGGCATTATTTTTTACAGTTATTAGTATTCCGACATTATATGAATTGGGAAAAAAATTATTTTTTAACTTTGGACTCGTTATCTTTTATTCTTTGTGTTTATGATCCGTTTAAATTTAAGATCAATACTTTTATTTTACATTGATCTTGTGCTTTTTTATACAAATTTATACATTAAATTCAATATTTTTTAAGTAATGTACGCTCATTTTTTTGGCACGTTTTGAGCATGGGTATGGTATTGTACCGTTCTGTTTCAAAACGGAATGGTACCGAATGGTCTTGGAGTTCATCTCGTACCGATACCGAACCGTTTAAATAATAGCGGTCCGTGATAGGTTCCGGTAGTATCACGGACCATCACGGACCGTGCCCACCCCTACTCTTGATCAACTAGAAACTATCACTTTCTCTCTCTTACTCAACTAGCTATTAACCCACACTTCCTCTCTCTTGCTCACTTCACAACTAGCTTTTCACTCTAATGGATTTCTGCAACAATGTCTTCGTTCCAGATTATTCGCAACAGTTTCGTGCAACGATTTTCTGTTGCAGTTACTATTTTCACTTTGATATCTTAGCAGCCAATTCTCTTACAATCTTTACAACAACCATACCACTCATCCCATCAATAGTGTCACAATGTCCCTTTGAAGGTTGTGGACAATGTCCACTTCCTCTCTCTTGATCAACTAGCAAATGCCACTTCCTTTCTCTTGATTAGGGGTGGGCAAAAAAACCGAACTAGCATGGTACCATACCGCACTGTAATAGTACCGAACCGTTCATAGTGTTTTCACACGGGATTGATTTTTTTCATCACGAACCAAAACCGAACCAATACCAAATGGGACGGGATCGTGATACAATAATTTAAAACCGATTATCACGGACCGAACCGTCTAACGCTATATACGGAGTACGTATGTCAAATAATTATGGTGTCTTTGTCTACTTCATCTTACCGTGTATAGAGTACATCGTATTTTATTATTTATTTTTGAACTCTCTCATTATTATTGTTGTTATTATATTTATCATTATTATTATTGGCATTATTTTTTTATAGTTATTAGTATTCCGACATTATATGAATTGGAAAAAAAATTATTTTTTAACTTTGGACTCGTTATCTTTTATTCTTTATGTTTATGATCCGTTTAAATTTAAGATCAATACTTTTATTTAACATTGATCTTGTGCTTTTTATACAAATTTATACATTAAATTCAATATTCTTTAAGTAATGTACGCTCATTTTTTTTTGGCACGGTTTGAGCATGGGTATGGTATTGTATCGTTCAGTTTCAAAACGGAATGGTACCGAATGGTCTTGGAGTTCATCCCGTACCGATACCGAACCATTTAAATAATAGCGGTCCTTGATAGGTTCTGGTAGTATCACGGACCATCACGGACCGTGCCCACCCCTACTCTTGATCAACTAGAAACTATCACTTCCTTTCTCTTGCTCAACTAGCTATTAACCCACACTTCCTCTCTCTTGCACACTTCACAACTAGCTTTTCACTCTAATGGATTTCTGCAACAACGTTTTTGATGCAGATTATTCGCAACAGTTTCGTGCAACGATTTTCTGTTACAGTTACTATTTTCACTTTGATATTTTAGCAACCAATTCTCTCACAATCTTTGCAGCAACCATACCACTCATCCCATCAATAGTGTCACAATGTCCCTTTGAAGGTTGTGGACAATGTCCACTTCCTCTCTCTTGATCAACTAGCAATTGTCACTTCCTTTCTCTTGATTAGGGGTGGGCAAAAAACCGAATTAGCATGGTACCATAGCGCAACGTAATAGTACCGAACCGTTTATACTATTTTCACACGGGATTGATTTTTTCCATCACGAACCAAAATCGAACCAATACCAAATGGGACGGGACCGTGATACATTAATTTAAAACCGATTATCACGGACCGAACCGTCTAACGCTATATACGGAGTACGTTTCTCAAATAATTATGGAGTCTTTGTCTACTTCATCTTACCGTGTATAGAGTACATCGTATTTTATTATTCATTTTTGAATCTCACTACAAGAAAAAAGCCTTTTATCCGTATTTAATTCGCTGCACATAATCAAGTGTGGTAATTAAATTTAACACTTTATCATTTACTACACTTAAAAAAGAGGCAAAAGGCGATTTCATTTACCCGCACCACAAAAGTATGCAAAATAACATAATTATACCTAATTATAAAATAAAATAAACATATATACTATCATTATTAGTCCTCTTTTTTTTCGTAACATAGAAACTAAATTTTTTTAAATAAAATAGTGTTTACAAAATTTCAAAAAATCTGGACGGCATTTACTGAAAATAATTCCCCTTTAGGGCTAACTTTTTCATTCATCCGCCTAAAAAATCTAAGAAATCGTGATTGAATTACTCCAGCCGTACACCGCTCGCGCACATCTGCACCACAGATCCGACGACCAAATCGAGTAAGCAATCTGATCCTTTTTGTTCGAGTGAATTCACTAATCGAGCGAATTCATTAACGAGGATAGCCTGGGTTTTCAGATCGATCCTTTTCGTTCAGCCCTCAGTCCTTCGATCAGCGTGCGTCGTTATTCACAATCTATTGGCTAGATTCATTCTTTGGTCAACAGCTTCTTCTCAATCGTTTGTCCAGAATAATCGATCCTCTTCAGAATCGTTCAGCCCCTTCATTCATTCAGGTATGATACCGTACACCTTCATTCTTTTAGTTCACATCTTATATACCCCTTCATTCTTAAAGTTGTTGTTCCTAAATCTATGCTTTGGAGCATGATTCTGTATCCAAAAAAGCAGTTTTGAATGGTTTGACAGTATGAATTTTATTTTCTGATTTTTTTTGTGTGAAGTAATGTGTTAAATAGGTTGAATGTATGAAGTAATATAATGGTGAATTTTACTTTCTGATTTTTTAAATTTTAGTTTCTGATATTGTTTTTTAATCCTAAGGCTACACAAGAACATTCAAGCATTAGGCTACACACTTAAGAAATTTGTTCAAGTCATTTGGACCTCTGATGTGCTTATCTACCCACTCTCTTTCACGAGCCTTTTTTTCTTGATCTTCAATGTGTTTTTTTGTTTGTCAAATATCCCATTCTTAGTCTCCAAAAGATTGGAGTGACATTTGGTCAAATTTATCTCAATTAAAATGATGTCTCTTTGCCAATGATAAAAATATTCTCTAAAATTTGCCTAAAAAACCTTGAAGCGAATGATTGGTATAAGTATATTCTGATGTAAGTCCCTAACTATTCTTTGTCCTTAGCCAATCAAGACATCCTTATTTGGACAAATCTTTTCAATTATGAAGTCTTTTTTTTTTTGCTAATAAGGAAAGGAAATGTGGGGCGTACGCCTTGCCAGGCCGAGGCGGTACAAGGGGGTTGAGGTGGTGAGGCAAAACTAAGACAGTAGCCTATGCCACGACGAATACCGATGCTATTGAAGTAGTCAAGGGAAGGCAATGATTCCTTGGTTCAATGTTAGGTACAGGTACACTTTCCCACTCAATTTTATCCTTTGATAATGGGCTAACACTTTTTATAGCTTTTCTACCTTTTCTTTACAGTATAGGTTCAGAGACAATATGTAGCGTGGTTAATAGGTTAATATGCAACTTCATATAACCTCAAGACTAACTAAAACCATGGATTGCTTTGAGATGGCAATGAGTTTTAGTTCCACTTTGGACCATTTTAGAGGTCTCATATCTGGCCATAAGGTTCTATTTTAGTCAGATTTGGACGGTTTTTTTTCATTTATTGAATGATTGCTCTGTTAGTATGAGAAGTTTCATATTGGTACACCATTTCATTTTGTTCATTGCCAAACAAAATAGGACAGGTTGTCTGGACAACTACAAAATGGAATGGAGAAGTTACTGGAGTTTTTTCCCCAACGAGGTTTTTGGAACCTTTCTTATGTCCCCTCTTCACTACCTCACCTTTCTGATTTTTTTTACAGATTATAGAGGGGGCATTGTGAGTTACTGTCAAGTTGAAAGCTTTAGTAATGTACTTGTCCACAAATGTTTTTCAAGAGTGCAGCTCTACTTGGCTATTGTTGGCACTACGTAACAACACTTGATAAAGGTACTTTTACACCAATGTATTTTTAGAGCTATACTTGCTGAAGTTGTTGCCCCACTTTTCTTGGCTAATAAGAAGGAAGTGCAGGGATCCCCAATCCCGGACACAACAACAAATCCTCTAACTCGAAATGATCAGGCTGTTTTGGCTATTTTGACTTGTGGTTCTAAGGCTACTTATGATCCTTTTGCTACATGTGCTGCAGATTCTGCCATTAAGCATAGTACCCTCAAGGATGTGGCTTGTGGTAGTCTAAACAGAATATGAGAATAACTTCAAAAGGCACGATTATCAACAATCCTCTTGGGGAAATAGGTACTTTGATAGCTCGTGTTTCAGTAAATCCCTCGTAGAAAAAAGAAGCCCCTGCCCCTTTTAAAGTTTCTGCATCCTTGGCTAAGCAAGAATCTTTAGTCCATGTATTAGTTCACAGCCTATCTATTATCTAGAATCTAAAGTTCTTAGTAGAGAATCAACACATGATAAGTAACAAAATGTTATTCTTGATCCAGATTATAAATAAAGCAATCCTTGATGCTAAATCATTATTCAAAAAAGATTTTCCTAATACTTTTGTAACTACCTGAGCAACTGTCTGAGAAGTAAATGGTACTGTAGTAAGCCATTTTTATTGATCAAGAGCATTTTTATTAATCCTCATTGGAGATGATGAGGATTTTAATAAGTCGCAGCATGACTTTGAGATGCTTTGTTAGCATAATAACATTGTTATACTATTTGAGCTACTTTTTTTAGCCTATTAGCTCAATGGTAGAGTGTCGTGTGCAAAAATGCATGGAGATGTGGGTTCGAGTCCCACATAGGCTTTTTATGAATTTAAAATATTAAAAAATGCTTGTATTTTTGTATGTGTGATATTTTAAAAACACATATAAATGTGGCAAAACAAAACATTAGCCACATATACAAGTGTGGCTAATCTATTCATTAGCCGCACTTGTCTAAAAGTGCAGCTAAAATTTCCCCACATTTACGTAGCAACACTTAGGGCCTGTTCTTTAGGACTTGAACTCTTAACTTCCAGTTCCTTCCAATTCTTTCCAGTTCTTTCTAGTTTTTTCCAGTTTCTTCTAGTTCTTCTAGTTTTTTCCAGTTTCTTCCAATTCCTTCCAGTTTCTTCCAATTTTTCCAGTTTTTTCCAATTTCTTCTAATTTCTTTCAACTATATTTATTTTCTTCAAATTCTTTCTACTTTCTTACAAATCACTCTAAAAAAATATATTATTATTATTATTATTACAGTTTTTTATTTACAACTTTTATGTTCATAACTATAGTTTATAAATTATTTCATTTTGTCATCTCACTATTTTTATGATTGATATTCATTATTTTTTTTCTTCAACTTTTTAATATGAATAATACCATTTTTTTGTATATTAAACTACATGAAAAATTAGGAAACTATTTAAAAAATTATGGTTAAATAGTTATATACTCCATCCGTTCCTAAATATTCACAACATTTGCTTTTTCAATAGTCGCGAAAACTTTTGTTTATTTCGATGTTTTCATTGATTATTTGATAAAATAAAATATTCTTGACACCTCTTATTTCGAAGAACTTTTCATGTTGTTTTTTATATGTAAATTTTATTTTTTATTTCTATACCAATATGTAAATAAAATGGATTGAAAAAAATTGATATTTTGAATGAAAATAATTTAAAACCACACATAAAATTTTTTTAAAAACTTTTTTTAGATTTTACAATTTATTCTAGTTTTTCAGTTTATTTTAATTTTTTCCAGTTTCTTCCAATTTCTTCCAGTTTATTCCAGTTTCCAGCTCTTTTTTTCCAGTCCTAAAGAACAGGCCCTTAGTGTATGTGTGGTAAACTGTTTTTTCCACATTTATAAGTGTGGCAAACAACAATTTTAAGTGCGGCGAAATACCAATTTTCTTGTAGTGTTTTTCATTATTATTGTTATTATTATATTTATCATTACTATTGGCATTATTTTTTTTATAGTTATTAGTATTCCGACATTATATGAATTGGAAAAAAAATTATTTTTTAACTTTGGACTCGTTATCTTTTATTCTTTATGTTTATGATCTGTTTAAATTTAAGATCAATACTTTTATTTAACATTGATCTTGTGCTTTTTTATACAAATATATTCATTAAATTCAATATTCTTTAAGTAATGTATGCTCATTTTTTTGGCATGATTTGAGCATGGGTATGGTATTGTACCGTTCCGTTTCAAAACGGAATGGTACTGAATGGTCTTGGAGTTCATCCCGTATCGATACCGAACCATTTAAATAATAGAGCGGTCCGTGATAGGTTCCGGTAGTATCACAGACCATCACGGACCAGGCCCACCCCTACACTTGATCAACTAGAAACTATCACTTCCTCTCTCTTGCTCAACTAGCTATTAACCCACACTTCCTCTCTCTTGCTCACTTCACAACTAGCTTTTCACTCTAATGGATTTCTAAAACAATGTTTTCGTTGCAGATTATTCGCAACAGTTTCGTGCAACGATTTTCTGTTGCAGTTACTATTTTCACTTTGATATCTTAGCAGCCTATTTTCTCACAATCTTTGCAGCAACCATAGCACTCATCCCATCTATAGTGTCACAATGTCCCTTTGAAGCTTGTGGACAATGTCCACTTCCTCTCTCTTGATCAACTAGCAACTGCCATTTCCTCTCTTGATTAGGGGTGGGCAAAAAACCGAACTAGCATGGTACCATACCGCACCGTAATAGTACCGAACCGTGTATAGTGTTTTCACCCGAGATTGATTTTTTTCATCACGAACCAAAATCGAACCAATACCAAATGGGTCGGGACCGTGATACAATAATTTAAAACCGATTTTCACGGACCGAACCGTCTAACGCTATATACGGAGTACGCATCTCAAATAATTATGGAGTCTTTGTCTACTTCATCTTACCGTGTATAGAGTATATTGTATTTTATTATTCATTTTTGAATTCTCTCATTATTATTGTTGTTATTATATTTATCATTACTATTGGCATTATTTTTTTATAGTTATTAGTATTCCGACATTATATGAATTGGAAAAAAAATTATTTTTTAACTTTGGACTCGTTATCTTTTATTCTTTATGTTTATGATCCGTTTAAATTTTAAGATAAATACTTTCATTTAACATTGATCTTGTGCTTTTTTATACAAATTTATATATTAAATTCAATATTTTTTAAGTAATGTACGCTAATTTTTTTGGCACGGTTTGAGCATGGGTATGATATTGTACCGTTCTGTTTCAAAACGGAATGGTACCGAATGGTCTTGGAGTTCATCCCGTACCGATACCGAACCGTTTAAATAATAGGGGTCCGTGATAGGTTCGGGTAGTATCACGGACCATCACGGACCGTGCCCACCCCTATGCTTGATCAACTAGATCTATCACTTCCTCTCTCTTGGTCAACTAGCTATTAACCCACACTTCCTCTCTCTTGCACACTTCACAACTAACTTTTCACTCTAATGGATTTCTGCAACAATGTCTTCGTTGCAGATTATTCGCAACAGTTTCGTACGTGCAACGATTTTCTGTTGCAGTTACTAATTTCACTTTGATATCTTAGCAGCCAATTTCTCACAATCTTTGCAGCAACCATACCACTCATCCCATCAACAGTGTCACAATGTCCCTTTGAAGGATTTGGACAATGTCCACTTCCTTTCTCTTGATCAAGTAGCAATTGCCACTTTCTCTCTCTTGATTAGGGGTGGGCAAAAAAACCGAACTAGCATGGTACCATACCGCACCGTAATAGTACCGAACTATTTATAGTGTTTTCACACGCGATTGATTTTTTTCATCACGAACCAAAATCGAACAAATACCAAATGGGACGGGACCGTGATACAATAATTTAAAACTTATTATCACGGACCGAACCGTCTAACGCTATATACGGAGTACGCATCTCAAATAATTATGGAGTCTTTGTCTACTTCTTCTTAACGTGTATAGAGTACATCGTATTTTATTATTCATTTTTGAACTCTCTCATTATTATTTTTGTTATTATATTTATCATTAATATTGGCATTATTTTTTTATAGTTATTAGTATTCCAACATTATATGAATTGGAAAAAAAATTATTTTTTAACTTTGGACTCGTTATTAGTATTCCAACATTAAATTTAAGATCAATACTTTTATTTAACATTGATCTTGTGCTTTTTTATATAAATTTGTACATTAATTTCAATATTCTTTAAGTAATTTACGCTAATTTTTTTGGCACGGTTTGAGCATGGGTATGGTATTGTACCATTCTGTTTCAAAACGGAATGGTACCGAATGGTATTAGAGTTCATCATGTACCGATACGAAACCATTTAAATAATAGTGGTCCGTGATAGGTTCCAGTAGTATCACGAACCATCACGGATCGTGCCCACCCCTACTATTGATCAACTAAAAACTATCACTTCCTCTCTCTTGCTCATCTAGCTATTAACCCACACTTCCTCTCTTTTGCTCACTTCACAACTAGCTTTTCACTCTAATGGATTTCTGCAATAACGTTTTCGTTGCAGATTATTCGCAACAGTTTCGTGCAAAGATTTTCTGTTGCAGTTACTATTTTCACTTTAATATCTTAGCAGCCAATTTTCTCACAATCTTTGCAGCAACCATACCACTCATCCCATCAATAGTGTCACAATATCCCTTTGAAGGTTGTGGACAATGTCCACTTCCTCTCTTTGATCAACAAGCAACTGCCACTTCCTCTGTCTTGATTAAGGGTGGGCAAAAAAACCGAACTAGCATGGTCCGCACCGTAATAGTTCCGAACCGTTTTTAGTGTTTTCACACGCGATTGATTTTTTTCATCACGAACCAAAATCGAACCAATACCAAATGGGACGGGACCGTGATACAATAATTTAAAACCGATTATCACGGACCGAACCGTCTAACGCCATATACGGAGTACGCATCTCAAATAATTATGGAGTCTTTGTCTACTTCATCTTACCATGTATAGAGTACATCGTATTTTATTATTCAATTTTGAACTCTCTCATTATTATTGTTGTTATTATATTTATAATTACTATTGGCATTATTTTTTTTATAGTTATTAGTATTCCAACATTATAAGAATTGGAAAAAAAATTATTTTTTAACTTTGGACTCGTTATCTTTTATTCTTTATGTTTATGATCCGTTAAAATTTAAGATCAATATTTTGATTTAACATTGATCTTGTGCTTTTTTATACAAATTTATACTTTAATTTCAATATTCTTTAAGTAATGTACGCTCATTTTTTTGGCACGGTTTGAGCATGAGTATGGTATTATACCGTTCTGTTTCAAAACGGAATGGTTCCGAATGGTCTTGGAGTTCATCCCGTACCGACGATACCGAACCGTTTAAATAATAGTGGTCCGTGATAGGTTCCGGTATTATCACGGACCGTGCCCACCCCTACTCTTGATCAACTAGAAACTATCACTTCCTCTCTC